ACGCAATGACCATCAGGAGTGATCTGCGGATCCGTAGCTTGCGGGGGACGCGACGGCCCCGCGCCGTTAAGTGCGCCGGCCAAGTTGACAGGGGCCATGGTGCTAACCAGCTGGGGCTGGAAAGGTGATGGTTGCGGCATCGGCGTCTGGAACGACGTCACCGCCATCGGAGCTTGTAGGGGCATGGTCCCCGCGCCTGGAAGGGCGAAGGGGAACATACCAGGGAGGAAAGGCATCCCCCCGTTCTGCTGGCACATGGCCATGACCTGGCCAAAGCCCTGGATGGCTTGTAGGTTGGCTGGGTCATTCATGAACTAAGTCATGCTTGGTGGGAACGTTACCCTCGGTCCAGCGGAAGGGACGGGGGTCACGAAGGGACTGATCACGCTGGCCGTCGAGACAGAGCTCAGGCCCAGAGGCAGCACCGGGGCTGAAATGACCGGTATGGTAGCAGCCACAGGGATGCTGGCGCCCTCATTGGTGGCTTGCACCTGTGCGGAAGTAGCGTTGATTTGTTGACTGGAAGACATTTCGAGTGGTGTTTTGGTGGGTAGGTTTGTGTTTAGGAGAAGAAACCTTAACGGTCCCACGGGTGGCGCCAAAAAACGATGGTGTAAATTACTTGACCGGTCAAACTATACTAGACCGGGTCTAGAATAGTTTGCTTGATTTGGCAAAGTAAGAAAGGTAAAAACACGCAGATTGACGGGTAAGACTTTAGGTGGAACACCTGTAGCCCAATTTATATTATAACGGAGAATGCACGGGTGCTTTTACAAGGGAGTTTAGAGAGAGTGAATTCGGATCCCTCTTTCTGAGGTTTACATGAGTATTTATACTAGGCTAAGGGGACAGGACCACGTGCGCCCACGTGGGGGCATGCTGCCGATGTGGTGCGAGGTGACTGGTTTCGTCCTCAAGCTGCCTTGTCGCCTTGTGAAGGGGATCATTTCCTTTGTCAAGTAGTGCCTTGGATGGATTCTTCAGCATCTCCAGTTGTCCTCTACTGACACGGGTCGCTACACGCCAAACCCTCGCAGATCCTCTCCTGCCGACACTTTCCAACCCCAGAAACTACACCGGGTAATCTCCGAGGGATGAATTTATCGAAGTCTGGAACAAATAGGATGACAA